ACAAGGGCTTTGGCCTTCTTACCTTCTCATTCTTGCATCTTGTTTGTTGCTTCAGGACCTTAATGTGTTTGGACAATAGTACCCTTCTGTAGTATTTAAATCTGTGTTGGGAAAACTGTATAAATCCATATTTGTTCAGACTTTCTCAAGGCTTAACATATTTTTTCAAAGGTTTAATTTATTCTGAAAAGAGTATCATAACTGAATGGAGTGTAGCTACAGACAGATAAATGACTATGCAAAAATGACATGGTAGTGATCCATATTTATACTCTGTCATTTTAATGCATTAGCTCAACTCATTCATTATATAATTTTCTTTTCCTTTTCAGAAAACAAGCTGCAATCGTTGTCGTCCTTTTTGTTGTTAATGATGTTTCTTGATATTAGCTTGCAGTTTTGAAAAAACACAGAGAACAACATTATGAAGTTTAGCATATTACTTCTACAACTCTAGTGCTCGTAGTAGAAACGTATGCTTCTCTGCAAAGTAAGCAAATATAACTCTGACAGCTAGTAAGGAAATACGCTGGGTGGGAGACTAACATTTTGCATCAGTCTTTCAACTCCAGGTGTGCCTTTAAGGGTCAAATGTTAGTTATGTGAAAATACATATACAGAGGCCTGTGTGAAAAATTACTTTTCCTATGGGATTCATAAGACATTCTTTTGCTCCCCTGTGTAGTCCAACTGAAAACAAAGAGCATCATTCTGAATCTTTCCTTAGTTCACAATGTCTAAGTTGTTCAATGTGTTGTGATTTATTTTTTTATGGAACGTGATATCACAGTGGTCTGGGAGCCTACCTTAAGCATGTGTGTGAACCTATTTAATCGTGCAATGATCACTTAAAAAAATGTTCCCAATCCCCCATTCTTTATTTGGCTGGTGAAGGATGTTTAAGTTATATTACAGCCTTGAAAGATAAGTTAATTGCATTTATGTCTCAGTTTCCATAACATCCTTCCAAATTTGTATTAAATTTCTCTTGCTAGTCTGTATTACTTTGCAAACGGATGCTATGGGGTGTTTCTCCTGATCTTGAACCTTCCCACGGTTCTTCCCTGTGCATGCCACTCACTAAAAAATGCCACCTATTTCTACTAAGCTTTCTAAATCTAACTTGAAATTATGCTTTCTTTTTTAAAGAGAGCACGTTGTTTTTTGAAAGGTTAAAAAGATTTTACCAGGTACTGTTTAATAATTTCTGTCTTGTGTATTGCGTGTAATAAGACATGCCATGCAGTGCGTTTTAGTGTGATTATAGCATGTCTGAAGTGTTTCATAAAGCAAATACTTTAATCAACCACATAGTAATAACACTGTACTTTTAATGTAAGAGCTTTCATCCTGGAGGTTGTAATAATCTCCAATTTGTAGTGCTAGAACTAACAGAACTTAATATGCAAATCTCATTGTGAAATGAGCCAACTCTGGGGTGAAATGTGGTGGGCGATTAACAATGCACAGTAGCATTGTGTAAGAAGTTATGATATAAGGTGAAGAAAATACTGGGTTAATTGTCACAGAAGATTCTTAGTTTTGGGACAAAATGATTCACTAGGCATGCTGAAAGCATACGCTCAGGTATTGCAGGAGTGGAGGAATATGCTGCCTGTCTGAAGAGACAGTTGGACCATCTCTTACTGCCATTGCCCAGGCTGTCAAGTTTTGTTTAGGTTCTCCCTCTGCTCTTGTGTCCTTCTGTCCAAGGCTACGTGAAGGCACATTCTTCAGTTTTTGGAGCTGAAAAGTGGAACAAAAGGCTTCCATTTCTTGTAAAGGATTAGTAAAGAAGTGCATATCCATTAATGCTGACACTTTCTCCATTTCACAACATCCCATTTCTACTTGTGGATGTAGATGCTGGGACAGATAGGGGTCCAAGTTCTCAGGCTTTCTAGAACAGAATAGCTGCCATAGCTAACTGCCATACAAAAGCCTTTTTATCATGTTCAGATTTCTAAAGCCTTTTAAAAAATTCCTTTCACTAAGAAATTGATTCTTATATCGTGAAAGTTCAGCTCCTTTATGGAAGAAGGCTTTGACACCTGACCTGTTCATGTTCCCTTATGTAGACATCTGCATATATACATCTCCTTTGGGTTGTTTGTTTTCACACAAAATGGATTCACAAGTGAGCCTTACATCTGGGTTGCATGATTGTGGTTTATGAATTGCATGGAAAGGAACTTTTGAACTATATAAACCAAAGAAAACTTTATAACATTAGATGCAATATCCTAACTTATCTGCCTTACTGAGAAACTTGGCTACACCTTACCAATTGTTTTACGTATTATTCTTCCGACTGTCAATGCACATGATCTACGTCTTTATTAATGGAGTTACTAAACTTGTGTTTCGGAGCTCCCCTGTGGGATGTGTGTTTCTGCAGGGCAGTACTTCAGAGATCGCCGAACAGCTTGGGCGGGAAGGGAGCTCAGGGGCTCTCTAGTCTGAGCTCCTGCTGCGAGCAGGACCAGCTCGGAGGTCAGCAGCAGGCTGCTCAGGCATGGCCTCACGCTGGAGAAGCTTTTCCGTACGTCGAGTGGGAACCTCTCTTGTTTCAGGTTTTGTGTCTTGTCCTCCCACTGTGCTGGGAGCAGCCTGGCTTCCTCTTTTTGATGACCTCCTCATAGGTGGTGGTGGGGCTGCTGATAGGCCCTCCCAAAGCCGTCTCTGCTCCAGGCTGAGCCAGCCCTGTTCCCTCAGCCTTTCCCCACAGGACAGGTGCTCCAACCCCAGCTATCTTGGTGGCCTTTTGCTGAACTCGCTCTGGTTTATCAATGTCCTCTCTGGACTGGGAGAGCCAAAACTGGCTGCAGTGGTCCAATGGGTGCTGGCCAGCGGGGGATGATCGCTTGGTTGGTTGGCTGGGCTCCTGCTGATACCCAGATGCTGGTGGCCCTCTCTGCTGCCAGGGCACGCTGCTGGCTCCTGTTCGGCTTGCTGTCTGACACAAGCCCCAGGTCCTTTTCAGCAGAGTGGCCTGTGTTGCTGCCAGGGGTTTTCCTTCCCAGGCGCAGGACTCTGCGTTTGTCCCTGTTGAATTGCATGAAGTTCCTGTTGGCTCATTCCTCCAGCCCGTCGGTCCCTCTGAATGGCAGCCCTGCCCTTGAGTGCATGAACTGGTCCTCCCAGTTTGATGTCATATGAAAACTCGATGAGCGTGCACCCGTGGTCCATGCTGGGATGTGCCTCGTTTACTGTCTGTATCAGTGACCTGGAGGAGAAGTACTAATACCTTCACTTTGACGTGCTTTGCATGTGCATCGTATTCTTTGCTTACACCCTTTTTTGCCTCTCCTATTATTAACTTGCAGAGCTTGCGTCACCTTGCCTATTGCTTTTGTATGCTGTACTAGAAGGAAACTATATTGTGTTTTTATTTTCTTTAGAAACATAAAAAAGTAAAACTTAAACTGCTAAAATAAAAAAGGCACGGGAGTAGGAGAACCAGCAGGAGAACTGGTGACCCTAGAAAGGCTGGAATGAGGTGGTCCTCTCTCACCCTTACTGTTGCCAGCCCCGATAGCTCGCTGCTTCACCCCTCCTCACTTTCCTTTGGCCAGTCTTCAGAGCCTTTCTAAAATTGAACTCTATGTCGCTGGGAATTAAGTCCTTAATCAGTAAATTTGACCTTTTTATTACATATTTTTTTATTTGATTAGTAATGAAAGGCTGTAATCTTTATGGAAGTTGGAAATAGAACATTCGTTAACAACAAAGCAGGAAAATATACTTAATTTTCAAAGTATGGAAAAGCCTGCGAGCTGCAGATATCTTATAAAAGGTTATATAGCTGATTTGCCTGAAAAAAAAAAGAAGATATATTTGAGCAAAAAAATTCTAGAAGAAATAAGATTTTGGAGACACCAAGATCTAGAAACTAAAACTATTTATCTACTTATGTCCCTCTCTCTGTAGATTTCAATCTATATATTTAAAATTTTGTATCTTTAGTGCCCCTATATTAAATTAGGAAATCCTTTATAACATTACAAGTATTTCCAGATGGGCTAAAATACTGCAGTGGCATTACTTCATCTCATTTGCAATTGACATCATGGAATGGGATAATGAACTTTTATTCTTTGTTGAAACTAGGATTGCATATCAGTATTAAGATAACTTCTTTACTGATATTTGCTTTGAGAATGCTAACTCTTCTGCCATCAGTCAAGTAGTGGCGTTTTGGAGATGAGTAGGAGAAGTTAAATCAAATCTAAATCAAAGTTAGAGTTAAATAAGGATTATAAGTTGTCATCCATCTATCCATATTTTGAATCAAGTAGTGTTTCAAATGTATTTGCTTATTTTCTCTAAATCTGTACTTTCAAATCAATACTGTTGTTTTGATTTCCAACGTATTCATAGGATTTTATTTTTATAGGCTGTCTTACTGATTAGCATGGTTTAACTTTATCAGGCTTAACACTTGATTTTTATTTTTATTTTTTCCAAATCAAGGCAGTGTACCTGCTTGTGCGTTTATTGTATCAACAAAGTTCTCACTCTTTAGTTTTCCATCTTTCAAGTATTTAAAGGCCTGTTCAGATTGTAGACAAGTTATCAAGAAAGTAGTATGATACTAGTTTACTACTTCTGAAACTGTTTAGATTGTAATTTCTAGTGTTTTCTGGTTTGATATAGAGACATAATTTAACATCAGAGTGAGTGATAGAAGGACAGAGTTTAGCCTAATTCTTTCTTTTGTATTGAGCGTTCATGAGAGGAAGTGGTTTAAAATTCTGGCCTTTGCTTCTGGTGTCTGCTTGTTCTTTGATGCATGGAGAGTCTTGGATAAAAGCTTTTGTTGAAGTGTTGCACTGAAAATTACATAATTGCTTGTCAGCTTGTTCAGTTCATTACTCTTGTGGAGGGAAAATACTTCTGTATTCCAGCAAGTAGGAGAGAGGCCTTTGCATAGGATACGTACCATGCTTTATTAAATGCAGTCTGTAGACACTTATTTATCTCTCCCCTCTCTCTTTCAGACTCCAGGCAGAGGTGGGTCTCAGAGCTCGGATTCGGATTCTTCTGCCACACCAGGAAATGCCGTGGACGTGAACAACGAAGGCTCCTCCGAGGTATTGTGCACCATACATGGGACTGGAGTCTTAAACCTTGGGTGCTGTTTCTCTGATCCATGAAGCTATTGGGAGTAACTTTTGGTGCCCTACCTAAATAACAGCTGTACTAAAGAAGAATTGTTTTTTATTTTCTCTTCTAAGAATTGGTTGTTATTTAAATAAAAATAAGGGCGTTTAAGCCATATAAATGTGTAGCTGTTAATTAGGCTTATCTATCTAATTGGTCACAAACAATCCTTCCTGTAATCCTGCAGATGAATTATTAAAATTAAAAGCAATGAGACACAAGCTTAAGACTCCTCATTAATAACTCTTTTATGAGAATCCTGAAAAACGGGGCTTAACATTTTATCACACTTGTACTCCCTTTTCACCTTTCTTCTGCTAAGCTATAATGTGTACCAGAAACCACCTCCTCCTCGTAAAATATCAAACGTGTTGGTTTTTGCTTGGGGTGTGTGTGTACATCTACCACTTCTAAATCCTATCCATTTTTTATGTGCTGTATGCCATACTTAACCAGCAGAATAAGTTGTTACTCTTGCTTCAATCCCGTATTACAATGTCTTTGGATTTACAGTGTTGTCAAATATTAACTCTGAAAAATGCAAACTGACTTCACTGGCTGTTGAAGCTAGTTTGTGCTAATGTAGCCTGATTACCTAGCTTGAAAATGTTTCAAGCTTAGCATACAAATGCAGTGCAAGGTTAATTACTCCTGTTATAGCATTAAAGGGAGCAAAGTGCCCTTTCTTACACTGAATAAAGTGTATGATGATTCAAATACTCCTATGTTTGCTATGATAAGAGATAAGAGAACTTTTCACTGTGCTGTTTAAAATCCTAATTGCCTTCCATCTGTGCATCTGCTTATTTCTTATTTCTTGAAGCCTTATTGCAGTCAGTATAATCAGACATTCCTTAATATTTTGCTGCATGTCACACATTTGTGAGTCCAAATCTGTTTTGTATGTATGTTTACACTGTCCCTGAAGCAAATAAATATTCTAAAATCTCATTACTTTTGTAGTTAATTAAGGCATAAAAATATGCAATGAGATAATTGCTTCTTTCCGAAGTTTGGCCAAGATTGCACAATTCTGTTAACAGGAGTGCATTATCACTGACTGTACAGCTGGTGGATGTCACAGGGTACCTCAATACTAATATGGTAGTATTTTCTTGGCATAGGACAAGCTTTCAAAGCGGTGATGTGCCTGCACTATTGCACCATTGGCTTTTCTTGCTGCTGAGTCAAAACTGGGTCAGACCGAAGGCTGCTGTGTCACTTCTGGTTGATACCATATAACATGAAAAAGTATCTTTTACCTGTCAGTAATTTCACCATTCGTTGCATTAGTGACAAGTGGGGTGTTCTCCTTAGCATGTAATTTCAAAATCTGTTTGAAACTGAGCTCCGAAGCTGGTGATGGGTTTGTACTCTCCTGAGATTCACACATTGCAGCATGCAACTCGAGCCTTTCTGTTGGTCTTCCTTTTCCTGCGCAGCTGGCCTGAGGTGGTGTCTCTCTGAGAACTTCTCTCCAGGGGCACCGTAGCGAGACTCTGCAGAACGTTTGCTCTCCATTTTATCATTATGTTCCCACCTGGTTCTCCAGTATTATGTAAAGTCAGAAATCCAGTTGACTTGTTTGCAGTCCAGTTTCTTGTCTAGATCTTCTAGTTTGTATTGCTGCAAGATTCAAATGGAGAATAATTATTGAATCTCTGCAGATTCTCATGTTTCCCACCTCCTCAAGCCTAGTTGAAATCAATCCTGATTTTTGAGAATTGTAGCATGAAACAAAAGGAGTGGGGCAGTCTGAATTCAAACTGTTCCTTGCTCAAGGAGAGGTGAAAATTTGTTTTAGTCCCATCTGTGGCACGTCAGCACTTCAGACCACACATGGACCTGTAATCGAGTCTAGATACGTCTTTTATTCACTGTGCAATCTGCCCGAGGAGGAAACATTTGAGCTATCCTACCTTTGTAGTTTAGGTCCCAGTGCAACTCTGTCTGCAGTATGGGGTTGCTAAATACTCCATGCTTGCAGTGAGTCCACCAGCGTGCTTACGCTTTCATTAGCGTAACATGGCTGCATTAGCTAGACAGGTTTGCTACAGGCATCCTTTTTGGAAGGGGCCTTAACGCATGCACGGAGGGTTGTGTTCAGTCCGCTCTGCCTGCCTCTATAGTGCTCACGGAGGTGCAGGCACCCTCCAGCCAGCAGTGTGGACAGAGGCCCAGAGCGCTTTACTCTCCACCCTGCTTTTTCTAGGTGTTTAAGCATGTAGTGTGTGTCTTGAAGATGTAAAGCTGCTGTTCTTCAGAAACCGATTTAACTTTTGGCTTTGGTAAATCTCTGGTGAGCATGCTGAGGTTTTTTTTTTTAAATTCTACTGAGGAAGGTGCATATTCTTCCCTAAGTGAGCACGCCAGCCAGGCGTGTGGCTGCACTGGCGCCTAGGCCTATCCCGCTGCCGCAAACTTGCTTACTAATTTACGGGGGTATTCCTGCAATCTCACTGCACCACCCTTGTCTCTCTCTGTGAAACATCTGAACACCTTTATGGGAAACTGCGTGATGGATCTGACGTGATGCCTTATAGCGCAATTTGTTATGCTGCTTATTCCTCTGTCACGTGAGGGGGGTACCAAGAGTGTCTGGAAAACACATAGTAGTGTGCGGCATGGTGCTAGCTTTTAAAGTCTGTTTTGGATTTGTTTATTTTCATGTTCTGAATAACTGTTCCTTCTTGCCTCCTCCATGGTATTGATATGTGGTTTGCAAAAACCATCTTTCCAAAAGGAAAACAGACTTTGCTTTTGGTGATTGTAGAGAACTTTCAGTGTAAGAATTTGAACAGCGTTTGATTCCAAATCTGCTTTTTTGTCTTAGTTTCTTAAAAACAAATATACATTTCACAGGGCTTCATCTGTCCACTGTGTATGAAAGTGTGTGTAACTCCCACTGATCTGTGTGAACATTACCAGAATGAGCACAATGGGACAGAAGGAAGACAGGAGCTTCGTGACCTCCCAACTGTTACTGTGGGTCTTGTTTATTTTGTTTCAATAGCTTTGGTAATGGGCTGCTTTAAATGAACATACATCTTTTCTTGTGGCTTGGGTATCAGCTTTTTAAATTGTTTCTTTTGATTCCTTGCTGAAACATAATTTGTTCTCTTAAGCATGATTCCAAAGTATATATTCAGCAAAGAATTAATCTCTGTGTAGCTTTCTGGTTTGCAGTTCTCTTACGTGAAACATTTGCTGTATTGGGAGACCTGCAGTCACCAATGTATTCTTTTTGACCAGCTTTTGCTTGATTTTCTTGTAAATAAGACTATTACATTATTTGATTTACTTCACTTCAAACTCACTGTAGTGATAAATGCAGTATCGGATCTGGTACATCCTTTGTGAAAAGAAATGTTTCGAGCTCTTATTAGCTAACTATTTTTAAAGCAGATTTCTAGTGGGAAATAGGTACATTGGGTAAAAGATGGAACAGAGGACAGGAATATAAAAAATTTAGAAGCTTCTTTTCTTGAATATGTTTAAGAGCCTTACGTATTGCAGCAGCATTATAAAAATAATTATAAAACCAATTTTTTAATATAGAATTTTATTGCAATTTTTTTGTGCCCCCAACAAAATGCAAAGGCTGTTTCAGTTAGTAAACATTATAAATAGCTGTGCATTTCTAAGTTCTTCCAATTCTGGAGTGTAAAACTGCACAATTAAAACAAAGTGTGCAGTTTTACATTCCTTAATTGGAAGAATTCAGATTGTGTAAGGTAACAGCCTCCAGCTGCACAAGGCTATCTGAATTTTTTCTGCTGTGAACCTTCAGAGAGTAGGTTTGACTTCTGGGGGCAGGCAGCTTGCCATGCACTGAATGGGTTTGTATGGAGGTGAAGTTTTGCATTCTTTCTGCTGACGTTACTTCTGTTGAATTTTGGAATCAAAGTGTTTATTCTAGGCTGTGTGAATGATGTGATTTTATTGTGTTTGTTGCTGTATGCATTTGCTAAGTAGTACTTTTTTCCTTTTTAAACTTGATGTTGCACTTCATTTTTGAAGGGAAAACTTCAAATTGTAGGGTGTTATTCCTAAAGGTTATGAAAGCCATCAATACACTAATTATCCTAGAGTTACTTGAGATCTCTTTTCAAGGGTGAAGTGTCACCTGTTAAAGTGAGCAGGATCTGTGGTAAAACTGGCCTGTGCTGTTCTCCTGGAGTGCTAGGGGACCTCCTCAGAGCCAGGACAACTGGGGACTGGCTTTTGATTGACTCCTTACTGCCTCCTGTGGAAGCGGGGACCATCTGTAGTTCTCTGTTCGTGGTCAGGTCAGCTTTTTATTTTCTTTATTATCTGGTCACAATGCAAGTGTCTTACTTG